GGGGACCTGTGGGGAGGAGAGGATTCCAGGCAGTAGGAAGCGCATGTGCAAAGGCCCTGAGGCAGGGAGGGCGCTTGCTGAGGGCAGGATGGGAGCAGGGTGGATGGGTTGCATGGGGTCCACCATGAGGGACGGCAGAGGCCTCGAGGGCCAGGCCAGGGCGGGGTCTGTCCTCAGGGCTTGGGGCTCGCCTATGCTGGCCGCCATTCCCACCCAGCTTCTCTGCCTGCTTCTGGAATCGAAGTGGCTGGTACAGGGACGCTTCTCTGTGGGCTCCGTGGGTTGGAATGGGGCAGTGCAGAGTGGGCGGCCGGGGCATGCTGGGAGGCAGAGCACAGTCCGGGGACCCCAGGCCAGGGGCTGCAAGCCCAGGGAGGTCGGGGGACGGGTGTTGCAGGGTCCAGGAGGGAGGGCCAGGACCTCTGCGTGGGGCTGGGCTGGGCACTTTGGCCAGCCTCTTGGTGCACCTACCGGGTCTCTGTCCAGCATCTGTGGTCTGGGTGGGACAGGTGACTAATGGAGAACAAATGAGCCCTGTGGAGCTTCTGTCTCCAGGGACCGTGAGCAGGTGCTGCTAAGTCACGAGGCAGTGCCCGGGGAGCTGATTTCACTGCGTGCTGAGCCAGCGGGTTTCCTGCCAGGGCCTGGGAGTCCGCCCACAGCTGCAGCTCCGAGAGCCCCTGGGGTGCACGGTGGATGCCCCCTCTTTCTGGGCCGGGGCAAAGGCCCTGGAAGGACCTGTGGTTGCTGCAGCAGTGCTGGGGGCTGGGGGTGGTGCTCTTTGGGGGGCTGGGGGTCCCTGTAAGCCTTAGGCGTCTGCTGCGGGAGGTGGGCAGGACCCCGCCTCCAGCTCCTCCGCTCCCGTTCCCGAGGGAGCCACAGCTGGCTGAGGGAAGTGGCTATCCTGGGGCCATGGTGAGTGGGGGCATCGAGAGCCCCCCTGAGAGTGCCTCCTGCCCGGGGTGTTGGAAGGAGGGCTGTAGGTGCCAGGTGGGCACAGGCAGGCCCAGGCCGTTTGGAGGCCGTGAGCACCAGGCCAGCAGCTGGGCCTTCTGAGGGCCCGAGACTTCCTGACCTGTGGCCTGTCAGGGTCCAGTTGAGCACTCGTGTTTGGGAGGCTCGGTCCCACCTGGACCACCTCCCTTCCCTGCCCCATGGCCTTGGCTCAGGTGGGTGCTGCCAGAAGCTCCGAATGAGGGTGGACCCCGGCCTGGCAGGTGCAAGCCACGCGGTGCCCAGCATGAGGCGAGAGGTCTCCATGTACAGCTCTGCAGGAGTGTGGCCTGTGTCCCCTCCAGCCCTGGCGGTCTGTGGCCATCCATCACGCTTGGTTCACGCCTGGTTCACGCCTGGACTCTGTCAGCAGCGCCCGCGCCCGTCACTTCCGAGGTGGGAGGTGTTGTGCGTCCTGGAAACAGAGCAGTTCATTAGGCGGTGAAATTAGATTCCAGGTTGCAGCGCAGCGGCCGCCTAATGGACGAGACGAGCGGGGCCCCCAGGGAGGCTCGAGCAGTCCTGGACCTGGTGCCTGCTCCGGCCTCACGCCGGCTTCCTACTCGCCCCCGGGGCCCTGCTGGGCTCCCAGCCCTATTCTGGACCGGGAATTTCTGAAGGAGGCCGCATGGGATGCCCCAGGACCCCCTGCAGTGGGAGAGGGGTGCATGGTGGGGGCTGTGCAGCCAGCCTGCTCCAGCCAGTCCGCACATGGGCCTCTGAGAGTCTCCTTAGAGCCTCTGTTTTCCCGTCTGTGAAATGGGCACGTGAGCGTCTTCCTTACTGTAGGGCTGCTTCCCTCCTGGCAGGTCGTGGGTGTGCTGAGAAGCTTAGCCTGTGGGGCTGGGAGTGGGGTCTTGATGTCAGGGGCCCCTCCTGACCCAACCCCAGCTCTGTCTGAGGGAGGGGCTGAGGGTGGCAGCGAGGCGGCAGCGCCTTCCCTCCTGCCCGCCCGTCCACGTGTTCTGTTTTCATTTAACTGAATACGCAAGATGAGATGAACAGCCCCAGCCACCTCGGAGTCAGCTGCTGGGGCAGGGTCCTGACCGGAGGATCCAGGGTCACAGAGCGAGGGGGCTGGCTGTGGGACTGGCCTCGGGGGGCCCTGACCCCTCCCGCGCTGAGTCCTCTTCCCCGAGTGTGTGAAGTGAGTGAGGAGCGGGGTGGTGGCATCTGTGTCATGCTTTCCCAGAAAAGAAATATCCCCCTCAACCAGACTGGGGAAGGAAGGCGGGGGAGACCCGGAAGCAGAGGAGTCTCCGGAGGTGGGGGGTCCTGTGAGCAGAGGAGTCTCCGGAGGCGGGGAGACCCGGAAGCAGAGGAGCCTCCGGAGGTGGGGGGCCCCGTGAGCAGAGGAGTCTCCAGAGGTGGGGGGTCCCGTGAGCAGAGGAGTCTCCGGAGGTGGGGGGTCCCGTGAGCAGAGGAGTCTCTGGAGGTGGGGGG